CTGATGTGTCCCCCCTTGCTTAAAACCTTCGCCGGCTTCCAAAGCACTCACGTCCTGAGCACGGCCAGCAAGACCCTGGTGGATCCAGCCCATGGCTGCCCAGCTGGCACCAGCTCCCACTCTCGGCCCTCCCTCGGGGGGCTCCTGCAGTTGGGATCCAAGCTGCCCTGTGTCCCCTGCTGTCACTCCCCCAACCTCTGTTCTGTTTCTCCTCTCCTCTCACATATCATGGCCTGTCACTGCACTGTTCAGTCCTCTCCACATAGGACTGTAGGAGGTGGGGTGTGAGGAGGGGTGTTACAAGAAATAGAATTCATCAGTTTATTTAGTTCAACCTCCGCTTATGAGGCATTTTTCGCCTTGAGGAGAAGGGACTGAAGTTTCTGGACTCAGGAAGCCACTTGAGTACTCTGAGCATCCGTCACCAGGCCTCACTCGGCAGTCTTGGAAGTGATGCAGTGCCTTAAGTTTCTCCTTGAAAGTACTCCCAGAGGCCTGGCGTGGTGGCTCACACCTGTAATCCCAGCACTTTAGGATGCTGAGCACAGGCGTTCGAGACCAGTCTGGGCAACTCGGCGAGGCCTCTTCTCTACAATAAGTCAAAACATAAGTTGGTTGTGGTGGTTCGTGCCTATAGTTCCAGCTACTTAGAAGGCTGAGGCTGAAGGATCGCCTGAACCCAGCAAATCAAGGCTGCGGTGGCCTTGAGCTTGCCACTGCACTCCAGCCTGGGTGACAGATTGAGACTCCAATAAGTAAGTCAATACATAGGACAACCAGCATTTGAAATCTAGACTCCAATAAGTCAATAGCTAGGGCAATCAGCATTTTACAAATTCGATGCTAGTAAGGAGAACTTAATACCCCACTCCTGGCGTCTCGGGAACTGGCGGTTCATTTCCTGGCCCTCGCTGTCCTCCCAGCACCCGCCCCTGGGGGGACTCTCCCTCTCACTCATCCCCGGGACCTGTTCCTGCTTCAGTCCCTCTGCCGTCTTTCCTGGAGCCCTTCTCTCAACCACGCATTCCAGTACAACTAGGTCTGCTCCTGCGGGCAGGGGCGTCTTTTTCATGTTTATGTCCCCGGTACCCAGTATGGGGCCTGGCACACTACGGCCATTCAGAGTGTGTTCCTAATTGAAATAGGAGGATGGATATCCGCCAGCCAGGGAAATAGTACCTCTGCCATTTATACTGGCACATAGTAGGCACTCAATACATATGTGTCAGTTAAAACTAGAGATGTGCTTAATAACTCTGACATATTTGTTCTTTCTGACCTTGACCTCAGCATTTTTTTTAATTTTTAAAATTCTTATGAACGCGATACATGTGCATACTTTAAACCACTTAGAAGTAAAATCAGCCTTTTGGGAACGCCCCGTTTATGCCTTTGCCACATTACAAAACCCCTTGGAAGAGGGGGAACTCATGTTGGAGATATGAACTGCATCCAGTCGGAACATTTGAATCCTATGCTACAGGCCATTTAATTTTAACTCCGTAATTACACATTATAAAACATGTGCTTTAAGTTCTGCATTTGAATCGCGACTCCACCTACAGTCTGTGTCACCCTCAGGCAACTTATTTACTCTGAGCCTCAGTTTCCTCAACTATGAAGTAGGAACTGAGGGACCCAAGAAACTTAAAAAGCCATACTTGCTGCGAAAGAAGTGTTCACTATATTTTATGTATCTCTACCTCACGTTCACTGTATATTTTGTGTATTCCTACCTCATGTTCACTATATATTTTATGAATTCTTAGTACTTTAAATCCTACCTCAGACCCCGTAGAATTAGGCACATGTCGGGTGCTGGGTAGCGACTGATTGTGTGGTTATACAATGTCTTAAGTAGTGTTTGTATTTAGAACTCATGGGTTAAGCATTGTTTGTCCCAATTGCCATGCTGACTTCTACTTTTACAACGGGATATAAATGCTAAAGCGATAAGCCCCTTTCAGACATTCCTTTGCTATTGCAGTAGACTCTGAGGCACTAGCCACTCTTCAGGTGGGCTCCATGTTGGTTTAAACCTCCGGCTCCCATGCCAAAGTTAATTTACACGTAGTGGTTGTGTAAACCTGAGAGAATCAAAAGACTTTTAGAAAAACCGTCTTGCTATGAGAAGATGTTTGCTATATTTTATAAATCCCTAGAACTAGTACTATATGAATTTCTACCCCACATTCACTGTATGTGCTTGCATTCGTATTTAAAACTTTGTTAAGTTTAGCTTTTGTTGTCCCATAATGACCATGTTATGTTATGTAAATGTTAAGCAAACAAGCCCTCCTAAGCATTCCTCTGTTTAGATCAGCAGACTTGGTGGCACTAGCAACCTCCTGCCTACTTGCCCAAGTTAAGTTACACGCAGTGACTGTATAAACCTAACTTATCTGACATTCCACTCTGCCCATTTAGTAGGTTTCTGTCAATCACAGGCAGTCAGGTTAAAGCCCACGCAAGGCACCTACCAATCCCAAGTGTTCCCATACCCATTAGGAGAAATTACCCAATCGTGTAAAATCAAGTTTAAAGTACTTTCCCCTCCCTCTGTAATTGTGCATAAAAACTGCTTGCCATACTGGATCAGGGCTCTCGTCCCTGAAGTCGCTGCTGGCTTCGTACATGAGCCCAGACTCGAGCCTGAATAAAGACCCTCGTGTGTTTGCATCAGAGCTGGCTCTTTGTGGTCTCTCGGATTTAAAGCCTGGGTTTAACATTAAAATCCTGGGTTTAACAGGAACCAATTTTAGGAACCTCGGGAATACTATGAAGATTAAACAAAATGTATGCCAAGTGCCTGGCCCATAGGATGGATTATTCCCATGGCAAGAGCAGAGTAAGGCAAAAAACACCATATGGCTGGATGACAAGACTGGTTAAGCTACCTGTAAGTAATTACTGGCCAGGTGCAGTGGCTCACACTTGTAATCCCAGTGCTTTGGAAGGCCAAGAGTTTGAGACCACCCTAGGCAAAATAGTGAGCCCCTGTACCTACAAAATATTATTATGAAGGGGTTGAAGGATAGTTTCTTCTTTCCTTTTAATAAATAAAAACATTTCTTTTTTTATGGCTTTTTTTTCTCCCCCCCCTTCCCCACTCAGCATTGTTTCTGGGATTCATGTATACTGATGGATGTAACTAGCTGATTTTCACTACTATGTTTCTGTGTATGGATATATCACTTTATCCATTCTCCTCTGGAGGCACTTTTGGATGGCTTCTAGTTCTTTTATCGATGGCTCATGAACATTATTGTACGAGTCTTCTTCAGATCCATGGTCATAAGTTTCTCTAGGAGTTAGAACTGCTGGATCAGGGGATGTATCCATCTTCAGGTTTACAACTAATGCCAAATTGTTTTCCAAAGTGGTTTATTGGAGTTTCTATAGCTCTTCCAGGCTTGTCAACACTTGGGATTTTCGGTTTTGTCAATCTGATGGGTTCAGAATGAAATCTTATTCTGGTGTTGACTTGCATTTTCATAATCACTAATGAGCTGGAATACAGGAGTGACTAGAAATATTTAACGAGACATAGCTGGTGTGGGAGGACCCCACTAGTCCAGGTAATTTTAACTTCTTGGGTGGGAAGATACGGAGTACAGGGATTCATGTAGCCAAGAGGGGTCCTTGGGGGTCTCAAGGTGGTGACTGCTTACCAATCAGCACATAATACTTCAGTTCTAAAAAGTTGGTATCAGCTGTACCAGGCTTTATGGTAATGCTTAAGGGTCATTTTTTTCTTCTTTGTGCAAGGCCCATTCTCTTGCCCCTTTTCTACTGGATTATCTTGGCTGATGAATGTTCATTACATAGCCTGGTGCCACTGCGCCTTCAGCAGTGTATGCTATATGCCACATCCCAGTTTGTGTCTCTTAATTTATCACAGGCTCTCTCGATATACAGTACTTTTGTATCTTTTACTATGTGACAGGGTAAGCTCCTTATCCTGTTCTCCGTTTGCATGTGTCATGCTATTCTTGGTTTATTGTCTTCCATAAGTTTTAGAATCAGCTTGTTGGATTAGCATGAAGAACTCTTTTGAGTCGGGCATGGTGGCTCACACCTGCAGTCTCAACTCCTGGGAAGCTGAGGTGGGAGGACCACTTGAGCCCAGGAACTCGAAACCTGGGGATTTTACTCAGATGTGCATTTAACCTGGAAAGAACCCACATCTATTTTTCTTTTTCTTTTTGCTTTGGAGTCTCTGTTGCCCAGGCTGGAGTGCAGTGGGATGAGGAGGGCTACCACAGCTTCACCCTGCTGGGCTCAGGTGATACTTCTGCCTCAGCCTCCCAAGTAGCTGGGACTACCGACGGGCTCCACCATACCCGGCTAATTTTTTGACTCAATATAGAGATGAGATCTCGCCATGTTGTGCAGGCTGGTCTCGAACTCCTGGGCTCAGGCAGTCTTCACATCTCAGCCTCTCAAAGTGCTGGGATTACTGCCAGTGCACCGGCAGAGCCAGCATCTTGAACATGATCATATTTCTCCATTTGTACAAATCTTTCTTGATGACTTTTGATGGAGCTCTCCATAAAAGTGCTGGAAATTGTTTTATTTATTCCTAACTTCTACCAACTTTTCTTGCTATCTCAAAAAGTATATTTTTGTTAAAATTATGTTTTAAGCCAGGCTCAGTGGCTCAGCCTGTAATCCCGCACCTTTGGGAAGCTGGGGTGAGTGGATTGCCTGAGCCCGCAGGTTTGAGACCCACCTGGGCAGCAAGACCTCATCTCGACAATAAATCAAAAAAAAAAAATCAGCCAGGCGTGGTAGCACGTGCCTGTAATTCCGGCTACTCGGAAGGCTGAGGTGGAAGGACTGCCGGAGCCCAGCAGGTCGAGACTGCGGTGGCTGGGAGCAGCCACTGCACTCCAGTCTGGGTGACAGAGTGAGACTCTAACTAAAAAAAAAAAAAAAAAAAAAAAAAAATATGTTTTAAACTCTGTTGCTAATATCATATGCTGTTTAGACAGTGAAGATTCAGTAGTAGACAAAGGTTTTTATTTTAAAAATACGAGCACGATTACATTACACTATACATTAAACAATCTATACCAAAGCTTAACTTAAATAATGAACCCTGCTGTGATTTCAGACTGGAATAGACCAGCAAGTTCATGCTTTGGGTGTGCCAGGACAGTGTCTGTGCACTCAGGTGTCTCACAGGCAGATGTTACTCCACCATCGCCAAGTCTTTCAGGCTGTGGCTTTTCTGTCTCTTGGCCTTGTAGCCTGGACGCAGGAACTTGATCTTTCGCTTCTTTGCCTCAGCTTTATTTTTGTGTTTCTTCAGCTTCTTCTTGGCAGCAATATCAGGATTAGTCACAAACTTGAAGAGAGAATAGAAATTTTGTATTACTTTAAAGTGAATGTTAAGACAGTAAGAATCAAATGCAGGAAATGTACCATCTTGTTTACCCTTAACTATCTTAAATGCAATGCATGCCCATTAGAGGAAACTGGAGCCTAGTAGGAAGTCCCTACTTCTGGAAGCGCCGCCCTCCCTGGGCATGAGTGTGACCATGCACACACCCCCACTGAAACAGTTGCGGGCCCAGGAGCACGCCATGTATCCAAGTGGCAGCCTCACCTCCAGAGCCTTCCTCTTCCTGCGAAGTGCCCTCTTCTCATGAGCCTGCTTCTGCACAGACGCGAAGGCCCGCGAGAAACTCTCAAGCCCAACCAGCTTCTTGAGCAGTTCTATGATTTCCTGGGACAGATTCTTCAACAAAGGATCTATCACAGAGTCATGATTGGGAATAGTCAGGTGGGAAAGGACACATCTGAACATCCACAAAATACAACATCTAAGCTCCTGAACACTGCTGCTGTCACTTCCACATTAAACACTGATTTAAAACCAGCCTCCATGTTCTGGGGTGGGAAAATCAGCCAAAGTGCTGGACATGGCACTCCTGGGCGCCACCTCCTTCCAGCTACAGCGAGAGAACGGGAGGCTCTTCCTAGTGGGAAGCTGGTTCTAAAGACATTCATGTCACTGAGGCTTTGGCAAAAGCATCTGGATTACCAGCTCAGCTCTAGACAGGTGAGAGCTTCTCACGCCCTCATGAGTTGTAAAGGCTCATCTCTATCCACAGTGACCTTTTTTTGGGGGGATCAAAGACGACTTTGAGAAACTGACAAAAGCCATGGTGTCCCACCCTTCTCTGCCCCCTCACCCCCCAAATGCAAATAACCCAGACTAATAACTGCATCAGTCTTAGGAGGCTCAGGGCACGTGCACCCTAGGGCAAGCTTCCTGACAAGAGGCCTTTCCACCTTGAGCCCCCAGTGCTGGCGGACCCGGGCCTGTCGGCAGCCTCCACCTTCACTACACTGCTTCTTCCTCTCTGAGAACATGGGAACTTCTTCTTGAGGCTGAAGAACCAAAAAAGCCCGCGCTTTGACATTCACTGCTTTTTGCATGATTTTTAAATTCTCTTTCCAACGCTGGACACCTCTTTTTCTATGACCAGCAATGAGGATCGGTGAAGGAAATGTATCAGGCAAGGAAGAAACAGGAAACACTGAAATGATATTTTAAAGCTGTTCCATATAGAAATGATGATGTACAAATTTTTGCCCTATAAGTCTTCAGAAGAGAATGCAATGACATCTTACTGTTCACAGCACTAGGAGGTTCAGAACTGCCCAAACCATCAAGTTCTCTGAATATCTGATCTGTGCTTTGGGGTGAAACCTTTTAGGAGAAAAACATTCACGTGTAGGCGGGAGGAAACACACCGAAAAGGCAACCAAATCTAGTGCAAACATGGACTCTGCTTGCTATTAGCTGCCGCGGCACCTCACAAGTTTTCTTTCAGGGAGGAGGAAAGGAAGGAAGAAGGACGCACTCAGTAGAGCAGTTACAAGCCTCATGTGCAGATGTTCAGGAGAGCGGGTGGTTACCTTGTTCCGCGTAGGTGCTGTTCAGTTCCCGAAACAGGGGCGCTATGACCGCCGGGAGGTATGGCTCCACCCTGTCGGTCCCCAGCTCCATGGCCACGGCACCCAGGAACTTGAAGATGCAAGTTCTCTGCAAGCACAGACCAGCTTTCACTTGGATGTGTCTCCTCAGCAACACAGCACCAATTTAGAAAACGGGCCCAGACTATCTGGGGACAGAGGGTACTGCTGTGGTTTGGGGTTCAAAGGGCCAGGCTTGGTAGGTTTGCTGATACCATCAAAATACTTTTTACAGAAAAAGTGCTTTCGGGCATTCTGTGGGTTTCTCGCACCTTTAAGGGGTTTCTGGGCGAGTAGGCAGCTTCCAGTTTTGCGATACGGGCCAGCTTCTGGACCAGCCACAGCAGCGTGGCAGATTGGCTGCGTGCCACCTTCGCCTGGTCCTGCTCTTTTCTGCCAGACGCCACCCTTCCATCGGCGCAGGCCCCAGTCTCTCCTGTGGCGTTCGTGTCTGCACCGTCTCCTGCAGCATCTCCTTCCTCCATTTCTTCTCCAATCTCACCTTGCTTATGCCCAGACTCAGGCTCCAGGAGATACAGGACTTTGGCCACAAACAACAAATTCTTAACAACCTTTTGAAAAAGGGTGGGGGAGAGAAATTATCAGTACTCGTCAATCTCATCCTTCCTGTATGGTCCGCCAGCCTGTCAAAATGGACAGACCTGTTGTCTGCCCTCGGGTTTCTTTGGCCCCTTGCAATCCATTCCTTCCGACTCTGCCACTGAATGAAGCATGCTATTGCTTCATTTCAAAAAATGACAGGAGCATCCGTGTTTATGCATGCCACTTGGGGTCACTCTTAGAGCAGATGTTGACCTAATTTCTAGAGCTTCATCACTTGATCTGTACTGCCCCATCTTGTCCATAATGGTTCGTGAGGGACATGGCCAAGGACCCTGCTCATATCGGGAGACCACAGCTATGTCCGCGCCTCACCCACCAGCCCACCTGCACTATCCAGAGAGGACAAGCAGGGGAGCAGTCAGCCAACTGTCCACAGTCATTGATGTTTACTACATATTTACAAATGCTTCTCTGTATTTACATTTTATGTATAGTTACATTTTATAATATACAAATATATAAAACTGCCTAGTGTTGGGATGACTTATCAGCAGACTCTTAAGGACAGATAATTCTCAGATCATACTGTAGCATGAACATCATTGCTTTCTCTTTACTTCCAGGGCTAAGGGGAAAAATTCAATATCATTGTTTCATAGAAAACCACCAAGCAAACAAGTAATGCCTTTTAAAGCTTCCATGATACATGGAGATTTGTTAAGGTTGAAGACAAAAAGATTAACAGCCAGTCTTTCGCTCCATTATCTTTATGAAGAATTCTGAGTGGAGGAGATTAATCCCAACAGACCCAGTGATGGCTAGACACGTACAGCTGAACATGTGTTTGAGTGTATGTCTATTTCACCAAATACCCCAAGCATTAAAACAGGCTCAGATCCCAAGTACCCCACATCAGCCTGTTTCTGGACTATTGGTCTGCTGAACTGGGAGAAGTGCAATTCTTACCTGTTCTCCTAGAGACTCATCCAAGAATTTGGAATGCAGCTGATGGCAAGAGGCTAGAGAGATACTCTTCATCTGTGAAAAGAAAAATAGATGCTGGCAGACATCTAAATAACCAATCATAACAAAAAGCCAAACCTAACAAGTAACATAAACAGCGATGCCCTTGTGCTTGCTGTGAATGCCCGCTGTACAGGCCTGGAAAGGAAGGTTCAAGACCTTCGAAACCAAGCAGCCATTCCCTTCTACTGGCATCAGCATTTCTACCCACAGAAGCAAGCACTGTTATACTCGGGAGACATAGGCCACCATCCCACCCATCACTAGCACAGCACTTTGCAGCATCCAGTGTTTTTTCTTTTCCTCTTTTCTTCCCTTCCTTCCTCCACTCATCAGTGTTCATGGAGCTCCCACTGTGAGCCAGACTTGTGCCAGGCCTTGGGAAGTCAGAGACGGACATACCACAGTCCCCACCTAACATCTTCACGAACACGATCTCATTCAGTCACCAACAGGCTCTGAAGGAGGCAGGACACATAGGGTCAACCTCATTTTCCAGTGCTGATAAAGAACTTGAACACATAATGGGCATGCTCAGCAAGCAAATTAAGAGTCTGACTATACTGATGGTCTAAAAATTATCTTGGAAAATTATCGGCCTTGAGGGTGAGCCCTTGCCAGCTACTGACACTCCTATTGATTCACACGTGCAACAAGATATCGGTTGAAGGGTTTCTCCCAAGGGCCAGCCCCAAGAAAGTTACACAAACCGGAATGAACATCTCAGCAGGTCATGAGGGAAGAATAGGTTTCAAACAATCTCACCTTTTGGTCAAGGTCACTTGCTAGGAATCTGATTGCTACAGGTTCTGAGCGTTTCCTTTTTGTCTTTTTGGCACTCCACTTTTGAACAAGCTCCTCAGGCTGGCAAGAGGCAAAAAGCAATCCAAAAATCTGGGCCGCTGTGAGCCACACCCAGCTGTGTGGATGTCTCAGGTGGGAGTGCACATGACCTAAGGAAACCAGAAAGCATTCTCAGATGGTTCAACAGTGCTCCTGATCCCTTGGTGGTAAATACCATTACCTCTGGCATTGTCATGAGAATCATGTGCATGGAGTGAGGAACCAAAGATGAAGAAAATATTCCAGAGGCTGGGAAGGGGGCGGAGGATAAAAGGAGGTTGGGTAATGGGTATAAATCCAAGTTAGATGGAAGGAATTTATTCTAGTGTTTGGCAACACAGGGGGTGGCTATGGTTAACAATAATTTATTGTGCATTTCTTTTTTTTTCTTAACATATTGTGGGGTACAGTTAAGGGTTAGGTATACAAATATGCATTGTGCAGGTACCCTTGTTGATGAGGTGTGCCCGCCCCCATCCCCAGACCGATATCAGCTACCGTTAATCCCACCTCCCTTCCCCTTCCTGCCCCCCCCTAGTTTCCCACCATTGTCAATCCTTTTCTTATATTATTACAATAGTTGTTCAAGGTCCACTTATGAGTGAGAACATGTGATA